CTTCAGCTCCGCGCTAACGCCGCAAAGCATCACGGGAGCTGAAGTCTTTGCGGTAAAATCGGCCAGCGGGCCAATTTTAATATATTTTTGATATTTATCTCGCGGGCCACATAAAAATGCTCCGCAGGCCGCATCTGGCAGTTGATCCCAGCCTTGCAGCCCCACTCTCAGCTCCTCCTCTTTTCCCTTTTATGGAATTGTCTGGGCTTGATGGAACCTGCGACAGGGTCAAAATGGCGGTGGTGGCCACCTCCCATTTTAGTACAAAAACGTGATATTGGAGCCTATGGAAAGGAGATGTCCAGTATATTTATGTCGATGGTTTTCACCCAGTTGATGTGGACAAATTTGTTGGTACCCATCGTCAAAAGAAAAACCCACAATGTTCACAGAAATAACTTGAATCTAATAAACATAATAATAAATAAAAATTCTATGAAATTGAACCAACGAAAGTCAGATATCGCTTTTCAACCATGCTTCAACAGAAGTATTTAAAAAAGGGAACTTGTGGAACAGGCCTGGACAAAAATGATAGCTCCCCTAGAAAAGAAAATAATGGAAGCAAAGGGACATGTTTATTCAAGATGCATCTACTAATTAGCATCACAGGTGTCTACATGCCTCTACTCAGGTAGTAGGCCTCCAGGTTGCAGGTTCGATCCTGGGTCTGACTAGATCAGGGGTGCCCAATCCTGGTCCTGGAGTGTCAGTATCCAGCAGGTTTTGTGGTTTTTCTGCTCCAACACACTTGATTCAGTAGTTGAATCACCTGTGCTAAAGCTCATCAGGCTCTGCAGAAGTCTGTTAATCACTTGCTGATTGAAATCAGGTGTGTTGAAGAAGGGTTGAAACTAAAACATGCTGGATTCCGGCCCTCCAGGACCAGGATTGGGCACCCCTGGACGAGATAATGCTGCTGTTGTGTCCATGGGCAAAAAACGTAACCTGCCTTGCCCTGCAAGTGGTGGTCCGAGGGACCGGTGGAATCAGTGTTGGGCAGGCCTCGCCTCTGTCAGTGCGCCCCAGGCAGTGTTGCCAGATCCAGAATCCCACAATATTGTACAGAGAGGCCTAAATTATCGTTTTTCAGTACAAATTATCGTACATTATAAATTTGATAATAACGTTCTATAAACGACTTCTCACTCCAATATTATATAACAAAGAAGGTGTTTTATATAACCTTACAGTTTCTCGCGAGAGTAGGCCCTATCGATGTGATTGGGCTATTTATTGTACAGATCCAGAGTCAGTTTTTGTAATAGACACAATAGCATAAACCTGTAAGCACTGAGGTGAAATCTGACTTCAGAACAGTTTAAAATTATGCAATTGACTCGGGAATGCCACAGCAAAAAACGGTGTTACTAGATGCAATGTGAAATTATCGTACATTTGAGGATTTTTGAAACTATTGATCGTACATCGTACAGAGCCCAAAATTATGGTACGAATACGATAATTATCGTACATCTGGCAACACTGGCCCCAGGGCTGCTGTGGCTACACTGTCTGTTGCATTTCTCTCTGAGGTGTTTTTTGCATAGCAAAGCTGCCCTCCCTGTGGAGGTCAACTCTGAAGTGCCTTTTTTTTCTCCACCTGAGTCAATCCTTATATAAACCCTTTGATTACTATTAAGGTAGCGCAACTCGGGTTGCGAATGACCACAGTCACCAATTCAGAGCCGTGTCCAGGACTTTTAAAATGGGGTGGCCTATGTGGGGCTCTTGTTTATGCATGGGTGGCACCAATGGTTATGCTTATTTATTTATTTACACAAATCGTTTATTTATTCATTTACTTTCTAGTGAATTTTGGAGTTTCACATTGCACAATCACCATTTTTTTCTATTCATGTTCTAGCTTTGTGGTGGTTGGCAAGTCACTTCTTGTTGCATTATTGCCACCAACTGGAGTTGAGTGGGACTCTAAATACTATCTATGTGAATATGAAAAAATAATAAATAATATTAATACTACAGAAATGTTCTGTAGGCCTGGGCTAGAAGACAATGTTAAAGGTGCATGCTACCACACACTATTTTTGGAGTTTACAACTCGAGCCTTTTGTCGACAATGTAAAGTCAATTTAAACTGGAACTTAGTGGGGTGGCACCTGGGGGTGGCCAATCAGATTCTAAGGGTGGCATGTGCTACCCCAGGCCACTCCCTGGACACGCCCCTGCACCAATTCTTGTCATGTGTCTATGTCTATGTATGTATGTCTGATCTCAGAATTGTGTGTACTGAAACTCTAATTTCCCTCTGGGATTAATAAAGTATCTTTGAATTGAATTGAACTGAATTGAATCACCACCAGGGTGTGAATGTGTGTGTAAATGAGTCATTGTGTTGTGAAGCACCTTGGGGGGTTGTAGAACCCCAAGAAGGCATTATACAAATACAGGCCCTTTACCATTTACACTCATCATGGACCAGAGGAAGTCCTGCGTAATTTTTTTTTACTGTTTTGCTACTGTTTGTTTGTAAATTAAAAAAACAACTCAAACTCAACCTTTTTTTTTTCAAATTTTTAATTATTAAGGAACAGTCATAGATTAAATACAAGGTACAGTTATTTAAGTTATTTTATTACAGTCTCCACAACTAAGACATTCACTACAGCAACCAATTGAAAATTATGTCTTTAAAATTAAATATCTATCTATAAGAACATCAAAAATAATATTAATACTAGTCAATAAACAATAATTGACTAACATTTAAGCACTTTTCAGTATCTTCACTTCTATACACAAATACAGCAAACACAAGCCTCCAGAAATGCAAGTTCTCTAAAAATCTGCAGAAAGTTTGTGATTCTTGCACACATACTATTTGCTACAGAACTATTGATTATAAAATATTGATACTGAATATTATCTACGCCAAAACGAGTAACAAAGACTATTTCTGATGTTTTTCTGCATGCTTGTTCTTCAAAACATGGGTCATGCTGTATTTTCTTATTTGAATAATCAGAGTCCATGACACTCTTATTCTTTGCTCATACAATTAATTGTTTTCAACTGATAATATTTGAAAATGTATTGTTTTGCTAGCCTGGCAAGCCAGACTAAATAAAGCAAGAATTTGGTCTAGTTCACTAGGCTATTGTTTTGCTGCTTTGGTGTCTTTTTTGGCCTCTGAATATCTGACGGTTGGCCTGTAGGGGGCAGTAGAACTGCAAAGGTGAGTTTAAAGCAGCTCTGTTATTTTAAGTGTGTTTATGTGAAAAAGTTATGAATAATTAAGGGCTCGCCAGTTGCGTGATAGTTTTAGGTGAGTTGGACAAATAATGTAACAACTAGCTGCAGTGGGTTAAAATGCTTTGTCTTTCAAGTCTTAGAATAACTAACAGAAAAATCGAAGTCTGACCGAAGTGCTAGTCGCTAAACCGGAAGTGCTCCAAATAAGCTATTTTTAACTGCTTACTAAACATAAAACTCTCTGTATGTTGTAATGTGTAATTTAAAGCTTTACAGCTGTTTTCAAGACTAAGTAATTCACATAATGTGCTACCTGCTTTGAATTTTACTGGATAAGTTATTTCAGGACACTTGTTTGGTTTTGGCTCCACTGTGTTAGCTCCTAATCAGTCTGAACTATAAAGTTTCTTTCCAAACGCAGTCGGTAAGTTTTACACAAACCATATCATTGTAAGGCAGTATTTCCACTTTTTACAATAACAGTTATGTCATTCAAGTATAGACACAATCATGTTCTAAAAAAAACCCCATAAAATAAAAACAGGATGGGCTTTTTCCATAGTCAAACAAATGGGTATAAACAATTACTAATTAAAATTCGAAATCAAAATTTGCATTTGATATTAATTTTTCATTTCCCACAAATGTCTCAATGACGTTTTATTTACCACAGATGTCCACCAGTTTGATGTAAATCTAAAAGAACCAACAGCAGGACAATTTCTGAAACTGCTGCTTTTTGCTGTAAAATATGGTTGAAGCAAGGGGCTGTCAAACCTGTAAAGCTTTTAGTCAGAAAAAAACAAAACTGAAATATTTTCAGTGCAGCAGAAGCTTTTGTCTCACATGACCATTTGAACCATTGTTAGGAAGAAATATCATCAAGTACAGCTTTAGAGCTTGTGTTTCTCAATGCTGGACGTTCCTTTCAGTACTAGCAACCTGTAGTGTTGACAGGATGGATCTGCCAGGTTGTGTGTGTCTGTTCTGTTGCCAGATGTGTTTGCTGTCCTCAGCGTGTCTCGACAGAGACCAGGATTCATGTAACCAGGTAGTTTTATGCCCATGTCCTGCTTCATCTCGTCATCTGACAGGAAGGGAGCCTCATCGGCTCTCATCACTTTTTTCACATTCAGTTTGTTGTGATTTGTGGGTTTACACTTTTCTTGTCACTGAAGTGGGTCTTTGTTTGGGTTTGCTTCATCTCCAGCACCTGTTCACATTTACCTATCCATTCAGTCACTGATAAGTGCTTTATCCCCAAAAACTAGTTATATTATATTATATTATATTATATTATATTATATTATATTATATTATATTATATTATCACATCCAAATAGCTATTGACCATTCTGAGATGTAAAAATTCCTGATTTTCTACCAGTAGAGTTTGCTGCACACATTTACTATTATTAAATATAAGAACATTATCATCGTCGGCTCAACGTATTGGTTTGGTTTCATGTGAACAAACTGTTTTCTGTTAAACCGTACCTTTTTGCTCAATGGGTGGATTATCACGTCCTTTACAGCTTCACTCTTATCTCCATACCTTCTACAAAGAAATATTTTTTTGTTTTTGTTTTATTTTGTAACACAGTTATCGCCTTGACTGATGACTTCACAGGACCACAGCTGTGTTTTCTGTTCTTTCCAGCTTTCATCAGTAAGACTGTGTCCAAATCTCATCTACTCTCTATTCTATCATAAAGCTATGACTCCTCTGTGACAGAAAGGGGAGAAGATTGGGAAGTCCTACAAAACAACTCCTAAAAGTGATGAAGCTAGCCGGACTGCCCTGTTACACTGGAGACGGATGGTTCTGTCTCACATTTTAGCTTCAGTGGAGGCTCGGTGGTGTCAGGCAAGTTGGAGGATGACTGTGGAGGTGTGACTTCTTCAAAGCCTTTCTCCATCCTTCCATCTCCGTTGACCCTCTCGTCCCCATGTCCTGGTGGGGACTCGTGAGTACGCATGTGCTTAGCCAGGTGGTCGTTACGCATGAACACTCTGGGACATAATGCGCAGCTAAACTTCTTTGCTCCTGTGTGTGTCTGTAAGTGGCGCTGCAGTTCATCAGAGCGTGTGAACCTCTTGCCACAGAAGAGCCAGTTGCAGACAAATGGCCGGTCGCCGCTGTGCCAGCGCAGGTGAGCCTTCAGGTGGGAGGTTTTGGCATAAGCTTTACCACAGCCGGGGATGTGACAGTTGTGCATGTGTTTCCTCCTGCTGTCTTCGGTGCTTTGGCCCATTTGCTCGGCGTGGATGCAGTTAGGGCAGCGGCACACAGCTTGGCCACCACCACGAGAGGAGGAGCGGCGCTGAGGCTTGGGCCGAGCAGACACCGAGGTCTCCTGAGGTTCATCCAAGGAGAAGGTTTCCTGCTGTAGCATGTCAGGGCCCAGTGGCTCCATCTTAAAGCCATCTTGAGGGAAGAGGTGTGACGAGTGTGAGGCCGGAGCATGCTGAACAGGGGGCAACGTGCACAGCTGTGGGTCAGAACCATAAGGTCCTAAGGAGGGCTGCAGTCCCATGGAGCTCCCTTGACTCACTGAAGGCAAGCCGACACCTTGACCTGTCTGCAGATCTATCCAGCTCCCTGCTTGCACGTCACGGTGAAGGTCCCACCAGGAAGAGATGTTCATCTCATCGGAGTTTCCACTTGACGGTGTTGTCCGTAGCCAGGGCTCGTAAGGGTGGGCCATGTGCGCAGTGAGGTCCAGTAAAAGACTGGAGATGAAGTCAGCAACTCAAAAGAGTCAGTTCAAAGTCTTTGTAGGCAACACTAAGAAGATCACCACATGGTAGGATGGTCAAGCATTAAAAAATCTGCAATGAGAAAAAAAACCCATCTTAAAATCAGCCTTGGTTTTAACTTATATAGACAATGTGTAGTTTTTACCATTAATTTCTGGAAACATGCATCAAAATGTTTTTGAAAATGATTTCAATGATGCCCAGTTGTTGAAAAAGTCTGGCAGCTTTGTAACATCTAACTATAAAAATCAGGTCTAAAATACATGGGAGCGGGTCTAACCCCGGCTTTCCACAGCAGCCGTCAGCAGCACGTTACTGCAGCAGCACGTCATAGCTGCTGACAGGAACCGCTGTGGTCAACAGAACCTTTTCCACTGGAGCCGTCAGCAGCCGTCAGCAGCGCGAGTCGGCCGCATCTCAGGAGCAGCATGTCGCGGCCTTTACGCGCCGGTTCTATTTCCTACGCGCGACGCCTCTGAAACGGGTCAAGTTCGACATTTTTGGGGAAGGAAAGACAGGAAATCGGACGCGGAAATGGAGAGAAGCTCCCGAGATTTTCAGAATAAAGAACGTACTGCCTTCCGGTCGCTTTACTTTAAAAAAGGTTACTAACTGTGCGGCCCCGTGAGAAGTTATCACCTAGCTAGCGGTCTCCTTTGTTTTTCAGGTCCGTATTGGCGATTATAAAACGGACAGAACATAAAAACACAAACATTTTGGAGCCATGTTGTAGTTTTCTCCTGCTTGTTGTTGTGTTTACTGACGAAGTCACTCGTGTGACTTCGTACTCTGTCGGTGACAGCTGCTCCCCTGCTGCTTCGCGTCTCTGGTGGGAAGGGCCAAGCAGCAGCTTACGCGAGCAAGACGTGCTGCTGACGGCTCCCGTGGAAACCCGGGGTAAGTCTCTGGGCAACACCATATTATGCCATGTTTCCTTCTATGGGAGCCCTTGAGGACAAAATGCATTTACTGATTTGTAAAAAATGGTTACAAAACTTTCTCCATTCATGAACGTTGTTTTACACATTTACCTCTTCACTTTTTGCCAGTGGTGATGTGCTTGTTATTTTGCTGAAATTTGTACTCCCCAAGGATTTTTGACCCTAATGGGCATCCGTTGGTGAGGTCTTACTTCAACACAAAAATACTGCTAGCTTGCAACGATTTAGGAATCTACTGCCCCCCCATCGCCTGGAAAAATACACACTGTCACGTTAATGCTAACCAGTGTTGTCGTCAAGTCATCTCTCAAGTCTAAGTCACACTAGAGTCCTTAGTGTTCAAGTTCAAATCCAAGTCAAATAGGATTAGTCCAAGCTGAGTCCACGCCCCAGAAAGAATCCTCCAGTCCAGGTGCAACAACCAATTTCAACTGTTATGTTTCCACCAAGAAAAGTAAGTTAAATTGCTTTTGTTGTAATTAGCATGTAGCTGATGCTAAATTTAGATTATTTTAGGTTAGTATTCTCATAAACAACAAACTCCTAAAGCCTTTATAAGCATACAGTTATCATGTTGGTTAGTTATTGTTTTCAAATTTATTCAAGTATGTTTTATTATTTTGCCACATGCTAGTGTGTTAGCTTAGTGATTGTGTGGGGGCATTGAGTTGTCCCAGCCCTGTCGTCCATTGCCCTCTTGCATATATTGTACACATAGCTCTGCTTTTTCTCAACTCTAAGGAGAAACCTGGTAAAGTAAACTTTATTATCCACCATACATGTGGAAACTGGATATGGTGGAAACCCTCAATTGGCAGCATGCTACCTTTGCACATGTTAAAATTTGAGTCCAACTTTAATTAATCTCAATTTAAGTTCCTTAAACAAGCTCGAGTCTGATCCAGGACTCGAATACTCCATCTCATTTCCTTCCTACCCCTTCTCTTTGCTCTATCTCTCAGTTCAGCATTTGGTCTACTTATTATATAACTTCACCTTTTATAGTGCTTTTGATGGCACCATTGTGTTGTCTTCGAAACCAGAGTCGATCCATTTACAAGGAAGTGGATGGGGCTCAAACATATAGTCTTGTCAACCACTAGGGGGCATTTTGGAGTATTTTGGTCTCAACTTCCCTGTTATGTCCTGGATTCTAGCGGCCTAAACATCTATACCGTCTGTTGCCAAAGCAAAATGATTTTGCTCTGCGTGTTGGTCTAGCCACGCTCCATTGAAACCTCCGCAGCCCCAGACAGTCTGGTGCCGGTCCAATCACAGCGCTCTATCTGTTTGGTGGCCCAATATCAGCTCTTTATGTTTTAAACTGCTTTGGCTCCAACTTTAGACTATTTAGACTTGGGCTTTTCTTTGAGTCAAGAGCAGATGGAGGTACTTAAGTCCTGTATTTAGTAAAAGGATGTATTTACGTCTTCTTGAACACAGTATAGTGGACTACCCCGTTGACGGACATTCATAGTGGTGAGTACGTCACTTTGTTGTCCAATAGCATGCAAAGAAAGTTAGCCCCATGACGGAGGGCAGCCAATGGGTTGTGGCCAGACTATATTTTTACATAGATAGGACAGTTTGCTAGGCTAGGTATCTAGTTATAAATGTTGATGGATTATTGTTTTTCTTAACAAGCATTAAAATAGACAGTCAAATTTATCCGTCAGAAAATATTTTACCATCACAACAGCCAATATAATTTGTAGTTTGATGTATTTGAACTGCTTTGGTTTTATTGTTTATTCTTTTTAATACGCATCACAAATTATGTAGTACGTCCAAGTCTGTTGCAGGTTAAATGACTAACTAGTCAGCATATTGACATCATGTCTGTGTACGTAAAAGGAATCTGCTGCTGATGACGCACTGGCTTTGTGAAGAGGTGAATATTTAAATCATTACTGTTTGTGATGTGGGGCCGCGCAGTAGCGCAGTAGTTAGAGCTGTTGCCTTGCAGCGAAAAGGTCCTGGGTTCGCTTCCCAGCCTGGGATCTTTCTGCATGGAGTTTGCATGTTCTCCCTGTGCATGCGTGGGTTCTCTCCAGGTACTTCGGCTTCCTCCCACAGTCCAAAAACATGACTGTTAGGTTAATTGGTCCGTCTAAATTGTCCTTAGGTGTGAGTGTGTGTGTTTGTTTGTCCTGTGTGTGTCTGTGTTGCCCTGCGATGGACTGGCTCTCTGTCCAGGGTGTACCCCGCCTGATTGCCCATTGACCGCTGGAGATAGGCACCAGACCCTCCCTGCAACCCTACGTGGATAAAGCGGGTTCAGACGATGGATGGATGGATGTTTGTGATGTATAAATAAAGGGCAAAAGAGGTAACACTGGCAAATAGGATTCAACCAATCCTAAATATTTTAAGTCTCTCAGTTTCTGCAGATCAACATTTTTTAACCAAACCTGCAGACACAAAGGCTTAAATCCTGCTGTCTACAATATTTAAATAACCAGCGTTGTGCACCTCCCTCGTTGCCTTGGATACTGCTTTTCTCACGCTGTGTGTCCGTGGAGACAGAAGACGGAGGGGGGAGACGGACGTGTCCAGGCAGAGGCCTGCCACATGCATCCGCTGCCAGGTACTTCCCGTGTAGGACCGTCAAAGAAGAGCGCAAAGAAAACAACATCACAGGCCCTGCGCAGAGGCAGCAGCGGGGGGAGAAAACGCTGCTAAGATGGGGGAAGGCAGGTGTTGACAGGAGAGCATTTTGGTAAAGGAAGAAGTTCCATGGAGGTATGGCTGCCTGCCAAAGTCTGTTCGTACGTCTTTGAGATTTGTGGAGATGAAACCTGGCAGACAGGAGAACTTTTATATATATATTTTTTTTATGAATCACACATGATTTACAACAACAGCCCTCAGGGCTAGTTACAAAAGTAAACACGTGAGACAGTGTGCCTCCATTGCTGGCGACAAGGAAGCATCAACAGTCACAGACCAACAACATTCAGGAGCCTGAGAATGGGAGTCCAACAATAACAGAAGAACAATTACTTTATGTATATAATTATAGCCGCGCGCTCTGAAATCACATCCTGTCTCAAACATGCTTCAGGAATGTTCACTTACGCACATCTCAGCAGCATCATTCGTCTGCTGTCCTGTGCTGAAGGTGGGGCTCTGAGGTCCACAGGTGACATTAAGTTTGCTAACTTTAAACTGGACCATCTACAATTATCTTTACAGCAGGAAACAGTAAAGTCGTCTGAAGCCTTAAAATGCCGCTGTCTCTGTCTGGAGATCAATATCTAACATACCAAGCCATGTGTCCAGAAACACCCCGTGGATTCATCACAGGAAGGTGTCAGTCAGGCTGACAGTGAAGGAGCTCCTTGGAAGATCTCAATTTGTTGAGTCAATACAACAAACCAGAGAGGATCACTCCTCCTGCAAAGTTTTGTCAAAGCAACGCCAAAGAATAAAATCGCAGAGCAATTAGTTTGGAATCCCCTAATGAAAGGTCTGATGTGAAAGGTCAAGCTGATTTATTCAACCCGGAGCTTCTGCTCTGTAATTTTTGGAGAATTCTCAGATGCGCAGTGGGTTGGTTGGGTTTGTTTCCCCCGTAAACAAACCAGGACGGCAACATTTACCTTCGTCCGATAAATGGCTAGGAGCGTTCAAACAGCTGGCATGAGGTAGGCCTCAAGGGGGTGTGGGAGGTGGGGGGTCATAAAACTTGCCCAGCCAAGATCCAGAACAGAGACGGTTTTACAAGTCTCCAATCGAAACGAGGCCCGATGAATGTGCAACAGTTTGGGTGGGAAACAAACCTATCAGATTTTTTTTATCAATTGATCAGGAAAATCTCAAGGAAAATACGGATCTCTTGAGTTTAAGGAAAACAAATAATTTCATCCATCACACGAGTTAATGTGCAGATAAGCCAGGAAAAAGAGTTGCAGTCAAGTCCGTTTCCTCTGTAATTTACAGCTTCAGTATCGGCCTCCTCAACCCCCGACTGTCTGCAGGAGCTGGTTGGAGGTCAAATGTCACTT